CAATGACCTGCAGGCCCTTAATCGGCAAATCGTGGTAGAAAAGTTTGTGCTTCCAACCGCGGATGAACTAATAGTTAAACTAGCTGGCGCCCGATATTTTTCAAAATTGGACCTTAGGAAGGCTTTCTTTCATATGCCTCTAATTAAGGAGTCAAGACCGCTGACCGCATTTCTCACTATGGACGGACTCTTTCAGTACAAAGTCTTGCCAATGGGCTTGAGTTCAGCCCCAGCGGCTTGGCAAAAGTTTATGGTTCACTCAGTTGCCAATTTACCTGGCCAACTAGTATACATGGACGACATCTGTGTATTCGGTAGGACTTCAGAAGAACATGATTCACTACTGCATGCTGTGTTACGTCGACTACACGATCTTAACCTCCGATTAAACCTCGAGAAGTGCAAATTTAATGCTAGTGAGATCGAGTTCCTGGGCCACATTATAACAAATGACGGTATGAAGCTAAGTTTTGACAATGCGCGTGCCATCACCGAGGCTCCTTGCCCACAGAACTCCACAGAAAAAGGCATTTTCTATAGATGTGTTCTTACAACCTACGTTATCTGCAGGATTTCACAAATATTGCTGAGCCACTGCGTGAACTGACAAAGGAGAAAAGTGTATTTGTTTGGGGTCCACCCCAACAAAAGGCATTTGATGAGATAAAACGCCGCATTGCTTCCACACCAGTTATGGCGATTTTCGACGAGACGTGCCCAACGATTGTCTCTACTGATGCATTAAGCATTGGGTTGGGTGCTATACTATCTCAAATTCAAAATGGGCATGGAAGAGTTATTGCATACGCTTCCAGAAAACTGTCAGCGTTAGAGCTTTCTTACTCTACCGGGGAAAAAGAAGCCCTTGCTTGTGTTTGGGCCTGTGAGAAGTTGAATCTGTTCTTGTTCGGAAGACCCTTCACTCTTCGTACAGACCACGCAGCGCTAACTAGTTTACTTACTCGAGGAATAAATGGCATCAGGCCACTTCGGATACATCGCTGGTATGCACGATTGTTAACGTAGATTTTCAAATTAAATTCCGTCCCGGACGCGAAAACCAGGTAGCGGATGGGCTCTCTCGACTACTCCTCAACGAAACTGAAAATAATGGGGATGATAATGAGAGATTACTGGTGTCTTCGCTGAGTAATGAACCAATCTCAGCCCTGACTAGGGAAGAACTCCAGAAGGCCACTCAGGAGGATGAGACACTCTGCCACGTTCAGGAGTATCTGCTAAACGGTTGGCCACAAAACAATAAGATCACAGGCGAGTTTCGTCCGTACTACGTGTTGCGTCACGAACTTTCATTTGTAGATGGATGTTTAATGAGTGGCGAAAAGTTTGTGGCTCCTCGGAGCTTGATACAAAAGATCATGCTATGTGCTCACGAAGGCCACCCTGGTATCGTTCGTACGAAACGCAAGGTTCACGCATGTTTCTGGTGGCCCAAAATGTCACACGAAATAGAAAACTTGTTCATGACTGCTCTTCATGTCAAAGGGCAGACAAGAGTTCAAGACCGGTTTCATCCCATTTACAACCCATTGACTATCCTATGCGACCGTGGGCCAAGATAGCTGTTGACATCATGGGTCCATTTAGCTCAGCGCCTCAGCATCAAAGGAACTGTTTGATAGCGACCTGCTTCTACAGTAAGTGGCCGGAAGTCCATTTGTGTGGAGAGGTGACTACTGCCAGCATTATTCGATGGCTGAAATATAGGTTTTCCCGCTTCGGATTACCAGAGGAGATAGTGACGGACAACGGGCCGCAGTTTACAAGCCACGAGTTTCATTCGTTCCTTCAACTTCACGCTATCCGACACTCACGTACAACGACGTACAATCCAGCGGCAAACGGCATGGTAGAGCGGTTCCATCGATCCTTGAAAGAGAGTATCCAAGCTATTCGCTTATCTGGTACAGGTTGGGAGGATGCAGTTCTACAAGCACTATTTTCTTACCGAACGGCACACCGCCGAGCTACAGACAAAACGCCAGCTGAACTCATGCTTGGGCGTGTCCTTCCGACGAAGTTGAATGCCGCACTTTCTATTCCTGCAACCAATAATTCCGACGAGTTAGATCGTCGCCATCGATATCAGACCACTTACCAAAAGCATACTACGCCGCTCCAGCCAGGAACATTCGTGCGCGTGAAGGTAAACACTGCATCAAAAGGACAACCCACGTTATCAGATCCGATAAGAATAATGCATGCATGTGGGCCAGGCACTTACCGGCTGGAGGATGGCCGCACAGTCGACGCCCGGCGAATATTCACAAGTATCAGACGAACGGGGCAAATACCACCAAACTTCACTGACGAGGTCAAGCAAAGCACTCAGCTCCGCAGGACGCGCCGAGAACAAAGACGACCGTATCGATATGGTTTTGACGCCTCATACGATTAAGCAGAGAGGTGATGTTGTGTATTCTGTCAGCTGTCTGGACGGCTAGTCTAGACAAACACGTGCACACAACCCAGACACACACACACACACACACACACACACAAAGCGTCTAATTCTCTACTTCCTTATTGGTTCATCCTTCTCCTTGCGAAACCTTAATGTACTCACCCACTTAGACATTGTTCAGATTGCAGCAGTCCGTTTCCGAGAGTGACCTTCTCGTATACAACAACGACTGAACAATTTATACATTGAAACCATTTCACGCAACCACAACTGCCGGGACCTATAGAGATAATTAAAGCAGCTATGCAGTAAATGCTCCAATGAGCAGCTTGGATCTGTGGGTGTAGAGTAACTCAATTTTGAGGGACATCCACGTCTCTTTCATTCTCTCTGCTTTTTGTTTTCTGGCTCTTGTCCAAAATTACATTCCAACATTTTGGATATTGCAATGATCTCAGGAATCTGAAATAATGGAATCTAGTGGACCCGATACTCATCCACCAGCTACCTTGAAAGAGTGCGCTAATACCCACACCATGCCCTTGACTGATCTTTTTAGTCTGTGCCCACACGGTGGAATTATTCCCGTTATTTGGAGACCTGTCCGGATAACGTCCGAGCCAAGGAAGGAATCCACGAAATTCTGTCCGTTCGCATGTACTCCCGTTGTGCTGAAAGTCTTTGAACTACCGGTTGTGTCTTGGATCTCAACAAGCACTTCAGCCGTAAATGTATCTCAGTTTGCGTAGGGACCCCGACGTTCCACATTGGATGCCGCAACATATCTTGTTCATTCTATACCATCTTCATTGGATGCGAAATGCAAGGGTGCGGCTCTTCTTCCTTGATTATGTCAATGCTTTTGACAGTCGACAGATCAATGTTACTTAATCAGCTGTCGGTAAAGGCTGTTCAACTAGCAGTGTTTAACCAGATGAGCAATTACTCTGTAAACCGACCTCATTTACCCAACTAAACGGTAAAAGTCCCACATTGTTAGTGCTGACTAGGGCGTATAATGAGGAGCAAGCTTCTCCCATCTTCTTTTCTCTCTATACATAGAAATGCTTGCGATTCCTTTAAACTTCATTGGTTGTAAGCACCTTGACGACGTAGTCTTAGGTACTATTGCTCCAGCTGCTGAAACATCAAGTGCTCTGCGAATCGGTCTGGACGAGCTTTTATATGTGGTCGTCGTCTCGATCCCTTAGTCTCAACGCTTTCAAATGTCACGATATAAATGCGTTTTTCTCCGAACTGACAAACGGATGATGGTGGTAAATACTTCTTACCCCATGGTCGTAAGCGCCCGTAATATATCCAGTTAATTCACTGTTGAGTACCTTGGTGTATATTTATCTCACAATTTATCTTGGTCAACACACCTTGACGAAACGTTCTGCAAGGTGCGAAAATTAGCACTCTACGCCTTCAGAGTTAAAATGCTTTTAGTACCCTACTCTTTCATTTATAACCGTGACGGCCAGTATTCTTCCACACTGGTTATATTAAAAGCCTATCGTCTTTTCTGGTCTTCTACAAAAAGATTTACATTGATTGTGCGTTCCGATAAGCTAATTTGCAAGTGCAGCGAATTCCAGCGAGTCTGTTGTTGACTTCATCGTTACTAAGCACTTTAGTGCATACGACAAATTTCAGCAAATATTTTAAATGACAATTTTCACCTTTTTCACACGGATTTATCTAAAACCCTCTTAGGTTCTTCTACCCGCTCTAAATTTAGGCTCTTTTTCTTACGCTACATGTTATCACAACTAGTTTACCGTATTTAAACCGTTTTCCTAGTGAACTCCAAGAAACTTATCACGCCTAAACGCTTACTTGAGTGAAGTGCTAGAATCTTTTCTTATTTTAAGCTTTTATTTCAATTCCATGCCTATGTTATGCCTCGCTACATCCACAGTGCTTGTGTAAAAGTGCTGAAAATATTCTTAGTCAGGTTTATAAAGCCTATTTCGACTTGAACAAAATTTCAAGTATAGTTAGTTTGGGGAGTAGTATTAAGCGACATATCATGGTTGGAAGAGGGTTCTTGTATGCAAAAAGAAAAACAGGGGTTACCAATTATGTAGTGAGATGGCGATTAGTCCTAGTTTAAAGCACCAGAATGAAGGAATGAATGTCAGAGAAAGAAAAGGTTACCACCGAGATTCAGGTATTACCAGCTAGATTTATTCCACAGAATTTTCACACACTCTGACGAAAAAGTAGAAAAGTGGTATTCCAGTGTGCTGGCTCAGCCAAGCTCAGACTTCTCAGGCACATAGACAAAACGAACGCAACGCACCGCAGTGAAAAAGCAGAACTCGCAATTGGCTGGTTGAGAACAGTGTATTGCAAAAACCGGCAATTAAAATAAAACCTACGATACCGATTGAAAAACAAGGGGAGATAAAACATAAAAATGGATAAACCTACGGACACTACAAGATGTGATCCCAGGGACCAAACTTCAATTCAAAGTGAATGGCTGTCCCTACTTAGATTACACGTCGTCATCCAGCAACACCCCGTATTTCTCAAAATGGTTCCCCCAGTACGTCCGTCTTGTTAGATGAATTACCTGATTGGTCGCTTCAGACGTGGGCAAACATCTAAGGTCAAACCCAATCGATTGCAATTTAAATGCTCTGAATGCAGTAGCAACGAGTGCAGTGGCAAGAAGCGGTTGGTATGTCGCTTATCCTTATATTCCTTGTCCTCTTTCGTACCCGATTCACTCTCCCTGCTATCCCTACCGAAAAAACAGACCAACAGAAATGTGATGCTGAAGCCGCTTGGGGACCTTGGAGGTGTCCTGGTGGAGAGCAAAGATGTTGGGAACCCAATGCAACTAGATACAGATGCATTGGTGGAAACTGTACAAGCACGAGTGCATGCGCCAACCTTCCCGGTTTTCAGGTAAGCTAAACAAATCGTTTGCGTTGTTATAAATGTAGCACGGCTTTACTTACATAATAATATAGATATTAGTGATAGGAACCACAGTTATATTTTTCAAAACCATATTATATGTTGTAAAATATGGCCTTTTTGACATGTGCAAATCAACCTTATTAAATCATTTCTACTCAAGTAAGCTAGAGGTTAGGAAAATCAGCTATTTTGCCGAAATACAACAAAATTTCATAATTTTGAGAGGGATGGGAAAAAGGATTGTCCTGTTCTCCGAACCTGGCATTTCTGTTGCAACGTTTCGTTAGGCAACACATTCAGTGCGACTATTCAATCCAGATTCTTGGTCACGCAAACCAATACCAGAGCCGCGAATCAGGACTGTATAGCCGCAGTGAAGATGTTGCCTAACGTAACGTCTGTAACAGAAACGCCCGGCTCGGAGAACAGGACAATTCACTCATCCACACCCCGAGCTACAGGTATTCTCAGTAATTGCCAGCCAAGGGAAACTCAAGACTAAACGAAACACAACAAGTAACAATGTCTTGTTGTTTGACCTCGTTACTAAGGACGCCAATGATAAAACAAGCTAACAAGGGACATGGAAAGTCTAGGAATCCCACGAAATAAATGCTACTTGGGTGGGATCTTTGCTTTGCTAACGGCTGGCCACAGCGCCTCCTATTGGTGCCAGCTTGGCGAAGCAGAAATCTTCCGTTCTGCAAAATGGTTCGGAAATACGTATTAGCAACAGCCTATGAAATGTATATAGAGCCAAACAAAACCATGGTAATCACTGAAAGAAGACAAGGTTAATCACCGCATCATCACCATGGCACATTAGCTGTAGGTAAGCTGAAGGTGTGTTGCAAGAATAACGGAGGTTTCTGGTACTTTTTCACACGGTTTTTTGCATTTTTTTAATCTTTTTCAATTGTTAAGCAGTGTGCACCTGAATGTAAATAAGTGTAAACACAGGACTTCCACTGGTTTCGATTGCGCCATATTCTGAATTGTTGTCAGCCATCAGCATCCCTCGTCCTTTGGTCCCCAACCAAGGAGACATGTGGATCCAACGGCTTCGAGATTAAAGTCAACGATTTCATATGCTGTCGCCTGGTGGAAGGCTGACCACCGCGTGGTATCTTCCAGCCAAGTCCTGTGGAGCGAAAAGGGCGCAATAGAGCAAACGCTAAGCTGACATGCGCAGTAAGTGGACAAGATATCATAACTGACGTAGCGAAGCCAGCTTTCTCAAGGGAATACACGCATTACCTATTACACGAAATAAGACTGCACTGTAGCAGATAAGATGCTGACACTACGAACGAGCAACCCTTCACAAAATCCATTGTCGAAAGCTGGGAACCGGGCATATCGTCCAAGCGAAATGGCCACGACTCGCATCCATTAAGGAACACCGCTCGACTTTTTGTCTTGGAACATGCCGACTATATTGCGCTCATCTGTGACAGCTCACAAACGGGCCAAGCTGCACTGGATAATTTAGCTATGGCTGTCAGTCATCCCGGACTGTGCTTTGCACCGTCAAAATGCAACATCACTCTTCAAGATTTGCAAGGAAACGCACTCCCGCACTGACTATTGGCAGTGATCACCTAGAAGTCATCCAGCAAGTTAAGGATATGAGCAGCTATATTAACACCCGTGGGATTGGAGCTGGGGTCACGAACCATATAACGAAAGTGCCGGGTACTTTTGCCAATCTCCGTCACCTGTGGAGCCGTCGTGACATTACTCTCGCTCTGAATGGCAGAGATTGCAGTGCAGCCGTCCGTTTAATCCTCCTGTAAGACTGTAAAACTTGGCCCGTTCGATCAGCCAACATAATGTGGCTTATTACGTTTGATCATTCACTGCCTCCGTAGCTTAGCCCATGTCTGATGGGAACAACGCGTGAGCAATGAGCGTGTTCTACGCCGCGTATTTGATACAGGGAGAGCTAGTGAACCGCTCAGCAACATTATATCACTCAACAGGCTCCGATGGCTAGGCCACTTGTTGCGCATGCCAGCACAGCGACTTCCGCGATATGCGTAGTTTGCGCGCCCTGCGTCTGGATGGAAGAAGAGGATAAGAGGCCAGGAAATAACTTGGCCAAGTAAAACGAATTTCTGCACTTCGAACAGCGTCGGCTGGTGTTTCCTTATTGCCTGGCTGAAGTCCATCATCATCATCATCATCATCATCATCATCATCATCATCATCATCATCATCATCATCATCATCATCATCATCATCATCATCATCATCATCATCATCATCATCATCATCATCATCATCATCATCATCATCATCATCATCATCATCATCATCATCATCATCATCATCATCATCATCATCATCATCATCATCATCATCATCATCATCATCATCATCATCATCATCATCATCATCATCGTCATCATCATCATCGTCATCATCATCATCGTCGTCATCATCATCATCATCATCATCATCATCATCATACACGTTAGCTTGTCCGGAGGACCATGAACACATTTGGTTGGATATACGGGTTGATATGATGAAGAACCGGCTCTAATAGTGATGGTGTTGTGTGCCTCTTTGTCCCTCACTTCCCTTTAGTATCCCGCCTAACAACGATCGCAACCGAATGCATAATGGGAGTTTCGGCTTATGTTTCATTTTTAGCTCTTTTAGTAGGCATTGTTTAGTGTTTTTTATGGCGACACTTTAGCTGTGTGTTTCTTACTTTTCTCGCCTTTCGGTTCCCCTCCGTTAGAAAGGCTGTGATTACAAGTCCACAGTGAGTGCCTTCCTACTCTATGGGAGTGAGACTTAGCCCCTTCGGTCTGAACATATGAGACGCCTTCGAGTTTTTGATCATCATTGTCTGTGGAGCATTGTGTGTGTCGGGTGTCACCAGCCGGTCCGCAATCATGGTGTGCGTATGCAACTACTATGCAGTGATAACCAGGCTGGTTACTTAGAACAACTGTAGCACTGAATATGTTACGTTAGGTTGGGCACCTACTACGTATGCCCGATCACCGCTGACCTAGAAAGACCTTGTTTATTCTGCTAGATATAGGGTGGCGCAAGGCCTGAGGTGGACAAAAATTGACTTGGCGGCGGGAAATGAAGTCACTGACGACCAACCTTGGTGCGGTCGTTCCTTTTCTCCTAAGAGAGTAGAGTCCACGTGACCCACCTCGCACCTGGCTCAGGATATGGCTGGCAGTCAGCACCGGCGGCTTATTGAAAGTGACTTTATGCTGTTATCTGCGTGGTAATTGCTGGTTATGACACGGAGCAGTGAAACCCACAAGGAGGCAGTCTCTCTGATGCCGCTTTATCCTCGCACCAAAGCCAGCTGTTTGGGATGGCAGGTTGCTAAGAAGGTGTAAACGCGTTGACCCTGAATGTATGCTTATGGCATTAAGGTTAAGTCCCACTTCCTCTTATTTTTCTTTGTGACGTAGGTCGTTGTGGTCCCATGGTGGCGAAGTGTCTGTTCAAATGACTGATGTGCTGCTGTTGATGACACTGAACGCCGCCCTAAGGGTGGCATTGTAAACGTGACCCTTCACCAAGGAGCATTTCCGACGACGTCAGCTGTGTTTCAGATTGACAAACGCAACGGAGCTTAGGCGATGCAAAAGAAAATTTCTTTCTCAATAGTACCACCAGCAAACAAATAGCTGCCCAGGTATAGGAAACTGCCGAGGTGTACCTCCAAGAGTGAGCACGAGAACGGAGGATTGCCAATCCTGGAGCAGCACTTTACAATTTGTCGGAGCGAAGCACATTCAGATCTAGATGTCCCAGTCGCCAAACAGTTTAGAATGGTATGTATACACGACTACTTGTAACCAAGTAAAGCGATGTCCTCTGCATAATCTTAGTTGGTTACTTGCTTACGCAGAAGTCGCTGCAGTCCAAAATTTTGATAACCTTCCAGAACGTCTTCAAATGCACAACTGAAATGGAACAGAAACATAGGGCCGCCGGGTCGTACATCGCCATAGACCCACACTCTGTCCGACATGTGGAGGTACAGTGCGCGTAGGATGGCAGTGAACTTTTCTGGGACCCCGTTACTTTCTAAGCAAATCGATAGCGCAGGTCGATCAACCAAGTCGAATGCAGCACATATGTCTAAGAATGCAACAATGGTGGGCCTTTGTTAGAGGTGGCGGTTTTCGAGGATTTGGTAAAGAGTGAATATTCAACTCACACACTCACGGCCAGCAGTAGTTGGGCACTAGTTTTTCATGATGTATTGGCTTCTCACCTCGCAAGCGTTCTTCGGATAAAGACCTATAAATGACTGGCTAAGAACAAACTGACAGGGCGGATGCTAAACACCACTCCGGCGGAGCCCTGCATTCCAGTGGCCGCTTACTGAACTCGTGTGGAGGATAGGGCGTTACTTAGTAACAAAGCGTGTGAACTGTCAACCAGTCCCTAGTTTCCCGTGGACTCGATTCCGTTGAAGCTGGACTGAACTATAGCGTGGTGCTACGTTTTACTTACCTCGCTGGCACATTGAGCTATACCGGTACCTACTCGCCTGCTTGAGAGCTATTCCCACCAGCTTGTTCAATAGTTAGAGGCTAGACAAACGCACTACCATGGTCTTCCACGTTGAGGGTTGTGGTTGGAAATGGGAAGGCGTCCGTTTCTTTACAACTGAATTGTTGCTATTGCTCCACTGCCTTGCGGACAGGCTTTTGAGCCAATGGCTTCCGTTGAAGAACCGAATCGTTCTTGTGTCTTGGAAGTGTCTCAGCCGAGCTGCAATCATGATAAGTTTAGCAGCTGACAATCGCATCCTGCATTGCCCAAAGTAGCCCCATTTCAGCATTCCTATTCAATTTCGCCATCGAAGATGCTCAACGAACATTGGAAGACCACCAAATCTACGGTATTTAGCTTCTTCCAGGTGACGGAATCGCGGAATTGGATTATGCCCATGACATCGCTTTGCTTGTGGATGATACGCAAACCGTCCGAAG